CTCAGCCGCTCCTCATCAGACTTGTTCTCCAGACCCCTCACCAGCCTCATTGCTGTCCTCTGGACGTGCTCCAGCCCCTCAATGTCCTTCTTGTAGTGAGAGGCCCAAAGCTGAACACAGCACTCCAGTCCTGAGTCCAGGGGCACGATCCCCTCCCTACTCCTGCTGGCCACACCATTCCTGACCCAAGCCAGGATGCCGTTGGCCTTCTTGGCCACCTGGGCACACTGCTGGCTCATGTTCAGCCAACTGTCAAGCAGCACCCCCAGGTCCTTTTTTGCTGTGCAGCTTTCCAGCCACTCCTCCCCAAGCCTGTAGCGTTGCATGGGGTTGTTGTGACCCAAGGGCAGGACCGGCATCTGACCTTGCTGAAACTCGTATGATTGGCCTCAGCCCATTGATCCAGTCTGTCCAGATCCCTCTGCAGAACCTTCCTACCTTCAAGCAGATTGACACTCCCACCCAGCTTGGTGTCATCTGCAAACGTACTGAGGGAGCACTCGATCCCCTCATCCAGATCACTGATAAAGATGTTAAGACCAGACCCAAAACTGAGCCTAGGGAACACCACTCGTGACAGGCCACCAACTGGATTTAACTGTATTCACCACAACTCTCTCGGTTTGGCCATCCAGCCAGTTCTTTATCCAGTGAAGAATACACCCATCCAAACCGTGGGCAGCTAGTTTCTCCAGGAGGATGCTGTGGGAACAGTGTCAAAGGCCTTACTAAAGTCCAGGTAGACAACATCCACAGCCTTTCCCTCATCCACTAGGGCGGTCACCTGGTCATAGGAGGAGATCAGGTTGGTCAAGCAGTACCTGCCTTTCATGAACCCATGCTGGCTGGGTCTGATCTCCTGGTTGTCCTTCACATGCCCGGTGAGCGCACTCAGGATGAATCGCTCCATAATCTTGCCCGGCACCAAGGTCAGGCTGACAGGCCTGTAGTTTCTGGGATCCTCCTTCTGGCCCTTCTCATAGATGGGTGGTACATTGGTGATCCTCCAGTCACCTGAGACCTCCCCTGTTATCCAGGACTGCTGATAGATGATGGAGATTGGTTTGGCAAGCTCCTGCACCAGTTCCCTCGGTACTCTTGGGTGGATCCCATCCGGCTCCATGGATTTGTAAGTGTCCAGGTGGCATAGCAGGTTGTTAACTGCTTCCTCCTGGATTATGGGACGTTTATTCTGCTGTCCATCCCTGTCTTCCAGCACTAGGGACTGAATACCCTGGGAATAAGAGTAGGTTGTTAGACTTCATGTGGGTCTAGTTGCCAATATTTTGAGTAGCCACCAGACTTCTGGGGCATGTTCTGAAAAACTTAACACTTTTTCTTTTTTCTTCTTCCTAGCACCAGTTCCTGAAAATTGCAAAGCCTCTGTCTAGTCTCACTCCTCTGATTATTGCAGCTAAAGAGGCAGCCAAGAACAACCATTAAAGCGGTGGAGTCAACACAGTCATCATGTCAAGACTTGTAAACGTTCATTTCAGAGACCGAATTACCTGCCTCTCTCCCCTTCTGCTCATTCTTCACAGGGGTGTTCTTAAAACTTTGATCTCCCTTGAAGGGTGGCAGAAGTATTGTTCACTGGACGTGGACGGGCACACAATGGGGACATTGCTGATCTTAGTGAACTGTCTTTCCATCCTTGTGACAGGGGTGAGAGGGGAAGAGTATTCCACATGGTTGAGGAGATCTTTCTGAGAACATCTGAACCTGACCTACACGCAGCAAAGCCAGTTTGTTTTCATATTTCTTATGGTGTTTACTTTTAAAAATAATGTGGAGTCTTTAGACCGCGTTTATCTTAATAAATTAAATCTTTTGCTGGCTGGACTTTTCCTGCTTCTGGCAAGCTGCTATTACACCACTGAGGCTGCTCTGTGCATTGGATGACTCGAGGAGCAAAGGAAGTGGGCGGCAGAAACGTGGACAGCTGTAACAACCGAAAGGGGACCGAGGGCGTGAATACAGCGCTGCTGGATGCCTCGAGGGAGCACGGAGAAAGCTGCTGTGTGCTTCCTGCAGCCACTGGAGAACTTAATTCATGGATAACCTTTCTGCCAAATTGTGTGACTTGGGCCCCCCTCCCCCCCACCTTTTGTTTCAGCTCAGCTTGTTAAACAAATCTCAAACATGACTGATGTTCTAGCAGGTAAATCACAGAAAAAATTGCCAGGGAGCTCTTTTAGCGTTATTTTATCAGTGCTGTGAGGGTTCTTAGAGACCCTTGCCCTATACGATAAACAGAGCAATTACTATTATAAAGATAAGATTTGCCTGCAATATGATGTTGAAAACTCTTGTTTCTTAGAGCAAGTCCAATGGAAAACAGACTGATCGTGGATGCTGCTTTCTCCTTGGAGACGTGGGGACATTAATTTTTTTAAATGATAGTGGTTTCTTTATGCTACTGATTCTTTTGGTTGCTAATAGTCTGTAAAACATGAGGAAACCTGGAACTACTAGAGGGATTGGTTGTAAACACTGGGCTTATGTTCAATTGTATACTGATTTTTAATAAAATGACTGCTGCGTTTCTTAACTTGGGGCTGAGGGAGGATCGGAGAATTCACTGTCACCAGACAAGCCTGTCGGATGGGATTATTGTTGGTATTGTCACTGGGTGCTTGAATGTGTTGGATGAAGTGGTATAACCTTGTCTCGTACCCCTTCTTCTGCAGTCCTTTGGACAGCAAGCGGCTCTCAGGGGAGTAACTTTACATATAGAGAAAAATTGATAAAAGATCTGTATTATAACTGGGGGAGATGCTTTCCCATGTATGGGGTGAGTTTAAACACATTCTAAAGTAAGGTCTCATCTTTCTCCAAAGCACATGTGTTGCACAGAAACTCGTTCCTGCTTCTTGCTGAGACCTGCTGCTGGCTCAGCCCTTTCTTCCCTGCACCTGGGTTTTAATTAAAATATGTTTTTCCTATTTGCTCCACAATACATGACAGCTCTTACACTACTTTTACTGGGTGCAGATAGAGTTTGTAAGGGTATTTTGCTTTTGTGGTGCCTTCTCCCATCCTTTGTGCTTCGGAGTGGTCACTGTTTGACACAAGGGTGAAGTCTGAAGTCCATTGCCAAAGTCTGCAGCCTCTCTCCTTTTGTGTGTATATATTTCATCTCCCTGTAATATTAAGAGTTTGCCCTCACAAAGCTTGTATTCATGGATGAATTCCTTGGGCAAAACAGTAAAGTTGCCAGCCTGGAGAGGGATACGATCTATTGATGAGCTCTTCTGCTTGGAGCTTGGGTGGAGATTGCAAAATGGATGGCCACTACCCTTGAATAATTCCCTTTGATAACGAGTTTGTTTGTATTTCTTCTGGAAGTCTCAAGATGGCATACATGGGAATAAAGGAGTTGGGGGCTAGATCTCCCTGAATCTAAAATCTCATATGGCTCTGGTCTTCCAGATTTGGCATTTGACTTTTTTTGACAGCACAGGGTTAAATCCGATCCTCAAATGTGTTTAATGTCTCTGACTTCTCTTCAGCTCCCTTCCCTGCCCCATCCTCGGCATCACACTGAGATGAGAACCTTAAGGCAGATAGGCCGTGTCTGTGAGCACGCATGTGAGCTTATTTTTCTGCAGTAGGGTTTCTGCTAAATTTCCCCAAAGAAGGTAGAGAAGGGTATTTGTATGTGTTTAAGTCGCTCTCATGGATTCTCTGTTGCATAATGGAAAGGAATCAACATGAATGACTGTTTATCCCTCTTCTTATCACAGAATCACACAGAATGGTAGGGGTTAGAAGGGATCTCTGGGGATCATCTAGTCCAACACCCCTGCCGAAGCAGGGTCACCCAGAACAGGCTGCACAGGACCACATCCAGCCAGGGTTTGAATATCTCCAGAGAAGGAGACTCCACAACCTCCCTGGGCAGCCTGTTCCAGGGCTCTGTCACCTTTAGAGGGAAGAATTTCTTCCTCATGTTCAGCTGGAACTTCCTCTGCTTCACTTTGTGCCCGTTGCCCCTTGTCCTGTCACTGGGAACCACTGAACATTTTCATAGAATCTCAGAATCATAGAATGATTTGGGTTGGAAGGGAACTGATACATCTTCTCGTTGCAACCCCCCTGCCATGGGCAGGGACCCCTTCCACCAGACCAGGGTGCTCCAAGCCCCGTCCAGCCTGGCCTTGGACACTTCCAC